TGTCACTCTGAGACTGGTCTCAACTTATGGTGGGTAGGGTCAACGGTTAGGTGAAACGTTGTACCGGTTTTGATCAGCGGAAACGGGTGATGGCAAAGTTGAAAGTGATTCGAGAAGGGGTCATAAGAGGGTAACCCCAAGGCATAAAATCAAAAAAGAGTCAACTTACGGAGTCCAATTTCTCCCAGACTCTTTCGACCAGATTCACAATGCCTTTACAGTTAGAGCGAGGTGGTTCGCAAAGTCTTGCCCAAGTCATTCGAAGTGCTCGAACTTGTTCCTTTCTCAGATTCCAAAACATTGCCTGCAACAGAACCACATCTAACTTTTTTTCCAGTATCTTACACTGAGATATTATTACATTTTCCTACTTATGGCTTTTTTTGGGAAAAACTGGGACGCTGGGAAAGAAGGATGTCACTGCCTGAATTCGAGTTCTTACCAAGTTTTCCCGAATACGTCAAGTCGCCTTTCTTGTAGTAGGCTTAAAGCTCAAGCATACTTCATCTATCTTCATCTACTAGACATAAGTCTGAGTCTATGCTTTGATCACTACACGCTACGTAATGACCCCCTCGAAAAACTTGAAAGCATCAACCTAATTCGGGGCAATTTCCAACGTTATCGATGTAATCAGTGAGAGTATGTAGGCATATTTAAGCACAATTTAATTCTCTTTCAGGACACACGCAAATTTGGAAAAACCCAAAGAACGTTTACGATCCCTTAACGAGGACAAAAGCTTACTGATTTGTGGCTTTGGAACTGCCCCAAAACTCGATTTCCTCTTAGAAGGTCTTGTCTTTTAGGTTCTACTCATGTTTTAAACGAGCTCGTTGATTGAACTAAACAGCTTCCCTTTCAGAGAATGAAGGTAGGGTAGTAAAATTCGTTTCTAGGCCTAAAATTTTTACTGGGACCCTTCATCCATAGGAATTCGTGGACAACAATAGCCACAACCAGACCACATGGGTTTAAGTGGTCACGGGTACTTCAGTGAAGAAGACTGAAGCTCTTCGAAAGAGCCGCAAGTCCCTTGGCGGTGTTGTTTGGCACTTGCTCCGTGAGGGGGTGGGCTTATTCGACATCGTCGTCATAATTCCACCTTCGGACATCACTCAGCCTATTTTTAGACTTCTGACGGACTCAAAACGGACGGCATAGATAAAAAAGAACTGCCTGAGCCGCACTAGTCGTGACTGAGTGAGTGATACATGGGATTACTTCTTCAGCCGCTCTTCAGCCTTTTGGAGTTCGTTCTACGCGCTCGAGTACCCCTGGATTCAAGTAAAGTCGAGTCACTACCCAGTTTTCAATGTAGAAATGAATTTTCAGGAAATGACCCCACGTAAGAAAATATCCAGCATCTTTTTGAGAAGAATCGCGCTCCTGCAGAGGCTTTCGATTTACTTTCAAATCAAAATCTACGAAGTCTCACTTAAAGGACAGGAATAATCCCTCACGTAAATTCCTCAATTTCCAAAATCCTCTCGAATCCCCCGAATCTAGACATAATGTGACCCCCTAAAGCATGTATCAGCTTTGTTATAGAGCGTCAAAAAAAATCGTCCCTTTCCGGGCAGCTACGGAATTTTCCCATGTGGGCGGCTCGAACGGGTTCTCAGGTGAATTTTGAGCTTGGAGGTTATCAGATAGGCACTTTCCAAATAGTAGTACAAGGTATTTTAACTGAAACACATGGCTAAATAATTCACCCGCCTTGCGCGATTCAAACTTTCAAGCTCATACCGCAAGTAAACTCACCAGTGTTGAGAGTTTGAATGCCGGCATACTACCGCTTCGTTTTCTGATTGAACCTGGAACTGAGAGAAGCGAGCTGGAGTTTGCGACCACCAGTGACGGTGTACGATCCTTTGGTTCCGGTGATGCGCCGGTGATACTTCCAGAACGACCTTTCTGAAATATCCTTACTTTATTAGGTATTTTGCCGCAAAAAGATTGGGCCCTTTTGAAATAATGAGCGCTGCGGTAGGTACCTCTATCTCTCGACTTTCTGATTATTGCTACCCTAGAGCCTCTTTGAAGTGGTAGACAGAGTCTTTGGAATGATTTTTATCGAAAGTCCCTCTCAAAATTTGAACACAAATCGAAAACATGGCGCGTCTTGGAAAAGGCTCATTAGCTTTTCATGTATCTCTTTATCTTCGGCGCTAATACTCCCCAAACGAAGGCTTGTGGATGTAAGTGCAATTCCTCAGTGCAAAGACACTTCAGTTCTCCAGTAATCCTTGGACTTTCGGAGATGCGGCAATCGGATTACGATATGATAACTCGCCGTAAACGAGCCGAGACGAGAAAAAGGCAATTCGGAGCGATTCTCCCCGGGGACACCGCACAATGCGGCTCGCACTTCGCCAGGTCTTCGTCGAGGACCACGTGAGACTTATAAAAACGCAGATCTTCTACGGCTCCATTAAAATCCAATTCGTTCAGGACGTGTGACTCATTTTCGGGCATATGGAGACCCTGGGGATATGGCGACTGCTTTGACTGTCCTGAGCAAAGGTGAAGGGACTTAAGGGCAACCCTAAATCCTTCTTCTATCCACCATTCTTCGTGAAGTCGATGGTTATTTGTCAGGGTCGACGTGTCGGCGTATCAGCGCTACGAGACTAGTCTAGGGTTGTGTATTTGTATAAGGGCAACTTAAAGGTTGAGGTGTGCGAGGAGGTGGAATGGTGTTCATGGAAACACGCATTTTTTTCGAAAGGGCTTCTCGCTCTGTGTGAAATGAACCTATTCTTTAATTACCCGACTGTGACCTATTCTTTTGAGATTTTCCTTAAGTTTTTGAATATAGTTTCCCCAATAAAGAAGTTTCGAAAGGCGGCACAGTTCTACCGCGACTTCCTTTTCGTTTCTTTTTGAGATTCATAGCGCACGTGCAAGGGTGTGGGAGGGTGCGACTTTCCATTACGATGATGTTTTGAAAGTAAACTT